TGTACTTTTATCCACAATGAAAAGAATTCTTGTTAACTTTTAATTCCTGATACAAACTCATCTTGGTAATGATGTATTGTTCTTTTGATACATTGGTAAGTTTTGTTAATATTTTATTAGGATTTTTGTATGTATGTCCTATAATTTTTCTTTTTCATAATGCTCTTGTCAGGTTTTTGTAGAAGGGTTTTTCTGGCATCATGAGTTGAATTGTGATATGTCTACTTTTTTCCTGTTCTCTGGAAGAGTTTGTATAAGATTGCTATTATTTTTTCACTTGAATACTTGATATAATTCTTTAGTGAAGCCTTCTGAATCTAGAATCTTTTAGTGTGTGTGGAAATATTTTTAATTGTGGATTTAATTATTTTCAAATAAATAATTTGAAGGTACAGGACTTTTCACATATTTTAAATATAAGTCCACTCAGATAATAGTTACTAATTTGTTAACTGTATTTGTTGTTTGAACTTTGTTTTACAACACTACAACATTTTGAGCTTTAAAAACTTATTGTTGACTTCCACTCAAAAAGGCAAATAACAAGACATGGCTCTCTACTTCGCAACCACATCAAAACTACAGCGAAAATGTAGAAACCATCACTCAGAACCATCAGAAATTGAGTTGAATGGAAGCCTGACAACTACGGAATTAACGAAACCACATCCATCCAGACTGGTAGGAGGGGCACGAGCACAGACACAGAGCAGGCTAATCCCTCACCTACATATGGTGGATAAAAATTTGGGGGGGATATCTCAGGAGCAAGGAGTCCCAGTCCCACACCAGGCCCCCCACCCAGCTCAGGGTTCCAGTGCCAGGAAGGTAAGTCCCCACAACTTATGGATGCAAAAACCAGTTGGGATTAAGTTGGCAGAAGAAACTTCTGGAGCTCCAGCAGTTCTTTTTAAAGAACCCACACACATACTTACCTTCTCAGTCTCACTCCCTCTGAGCACCAACACTGAGGTAGCAGCTCGAAAGGCACTAGTGACATATGGGGAGAAACTAAAGTGTCTGCAATCAAGGAGAGCAGGGGCTATTGTCCCTTTACTAGACTCTTCCCCACAGAGCCAGCAGGCTGGTGCTGTATATGAGACTGCATCAACATGGCTAACACTGTTTGACCGGCCTTGGAGATCCCCAGAGACTCCCCACCTCCCAACTTACAGGCTTACCTAACCTGCTTTTCCATTTCAGTGGCTGGTCTTGGCTTCACAACTTCCTAAATCCTCTAAAATAAACAACAACTGGCCTCAGTGAGCCCCAGGCCCAGCACTAGCAGCATCTAGCCTAGAGTCACAGGTTGGCTTCCCCTGGGAATTTCCAAATCCACCACAAGTAGCAGCAACCTCAGATTGCTTTATAATGCAGACAGGATGGCCCTGGGCAAGACCTGCACCACCCAGAAACCCCCAGGCCAGAGCACCCAGTGGACAGGTAAATACCGTGTCGGAGCACCACCATCTTACCCTTGCACAGCTCATTGTCCACCGAGGGCCGAGGTTGGTGGCAAGTGTTCACAGCCAGTCCTTGAAGGTGACCGGCCTGAGTAAATCCCTCCCATTGATCTGCCAACAGCAACCAAGGCTCAACTACAAGAGGAGTGTATACTCAGCGTACATGAAGGGTACTCCTTGAGTACCCAGCTGAGGTGATAAGGGAGGCTATGTATGTCACTGAACCCTACAGGACATCTGCCACATTAGGCCACACTACCAAGACACGGAGTCAAAGCAGCTCCATATAATACATAGAAACAAACACAAGAAGGCTGCCAAAATGAGATACAGAAACATAGCCCAGGTGAAAAAACAGGTCAAAACTCCAGGAAAAGCTACATGAAATGTAGATAGGCAATCTATCAGGTGCAGAGTTCAAAACACTGGTTATAAGGATGCTCAAGGAACTTAGTGAGGGCCTCAGCAGCATTAAAAAAAAATCCAGTCAGAAACAAAGGATACACTAATTGAAATAAAGAATTTTCAGGGAAACAACAGAAGAGTGGATGCAGATGAGAATCAGATCAATGATTTGGAACATAAAAATGCAAAAAAAAAAAAAAAACAAGCAATCAGAACAAGAAGGAAAAGAATTCAAAAACAATGAGGATAGTATAAGCAGCTTTTGGGACAACCTCAAGAGGTCCAACAGTCACATCACAGGGGTACCAGAAGGAGAAGAGAAAGATCAATAAATTGGAAGTCTATTTGAAGAAATAAAGAAAATTTCCCTAATTTGGTGAAGGAAATAGACATGCAAATCCAGGAAGAACAGAGAGTCCTAAAGAAGATAGATGCAAAGAGGCCCACTCCAAGACACATCATAATTAAAATGCCAAAGGTAAAAGAGAATCCTAAAAGCAGCAAGAGAAGAGAAGTTAGTTACTTACAGGGGAGTTCCCATAAGACTGTTAGCTGATTTCTCAAAAGAAACTTAAGGCTAGTCAGGATTGGAAAGAAATATTCAAAATCATGAAAAACTGGGACCTACAGCCAAGATTGCTCTACCCAGCAAAGCTATCATTTAGAATTCAAGGGCAGATAAAGAGCTTCCCAGATAAAAAATTAAAGGAGTTTATGATCACCAAACTATTATTACATGAAATGTTAAAGGAACTTATTTTAGAAAAAGAAGATAAAAGCTATGAACAATAAAATGGCAAAAATGGCATATCTATCAACAATTGAATCTAAAAGTCAAACTAAGCAAACAAGAACAGAGACAGAATCATGGCTACAGAGAATATTCTGATGATTGCCAGATGTGAGGGTTGTGGGGGGATGGGTGAAGAGGTGAGAGGATTAAGAAGTACAAATAGGTAGTTACAGAATAGCCATGGGGATGTAAAGTACAATATAGGAAATGGAGTAGCCAAAAAATTTATACTCGATGGGGGAGCTTTTTCCCCCAGAGCCCACCCACCTCCCATCCCCCCGCTCCCCCCAGCCATGAGAATAAGTCTATCAAGACATGATCTGCTTAGGGAGGAAAGGTGGCTGATCTCTCAAAGGAGAAGGGCCTTGAGCCTGTTCCTCAATGGGCTTTTATTGGGTTTAATTTGTATAGGAATATAGGGTGTATACATAAAGCCCAATCATTGTCAGGCAGTAATAAACAATAGATAACATTCAGAGAAGTATGAGGGCTTATTCTGAGTCAGGGTCAGATAGGCAAAGGACCATAAAACTTTGGGAAACAAACTCATTTTATGCTTGGACCCTTATCATTTAAATTGAGGGCATTCTTAGCAGAACAGGTTTCACAGGATTTTATGCATTCTTTCTCTGGTCTGATTGCCCTGGAGAAGCTGCCCTTTCCAACAAAGGGCAGCACCCACCTCCAGCATTGTTTCAGGCTTAAGTCAGGTGGAGGATGCAAGCAGCCAAGAGATTAGAAGACTTCTTACAGATAGAATGGGGATTCAGGCTATGTCAAAGCTGAGGGGTGAGGATCCATACCCCCCTTTTTTGTAGTCCCCTAAGCCTTTCTCTGATGGCCCCATTTCAACCATTCCTGTCTTAGGTTGTCTCTCCCTTGAGGAGTCTTACCCATCATTGGCTAACCAGTCATCTGCCCAGGGCCAAGCAGGGTGAAGTAAAGGGGGCAGAGGCTGCACCCCTGCTAGGAGAATAGGCTTTGTCTCCTTAGTGGCTTATGGTCCTAAGGTCTTTTTACTCAGCCTTAGCCATTAGGGGTTACAACTTCTGAAACCAGGAAGGGCAGTTCCCAACAATATGCATGACCCATGGACATGAACAATGGTGGAGGGTTTCCTTGGGGGGGGGTGCTGGGTGGAGGGGGATGAAGGGGGAAAAATCAGGGTAACTGTAATAGCATAATCAATAAAATATAATAAAAAATAAAAGCAATGTTAGGTGTCAGGTTTCATTTAAATTGTGATAAAATACACAGGGTTAAATTTACCATCCTAGCAATTTTAATATACTGTTCAGAATGTATATAAGTACATTTACATTGTAGGCAGCCAATCTCCAGAACTGTTTTCATCTTGAAAAACTGAAACTATACCCATTAAGCAACAATTCCCCATTTTCTCTTTCCCCCAACCCCTGGCAACTACCCTTCTACTTTGTGATATTAATAATAGGAATCATACATACAGTATCTTTTGTGACTGATTATTTAACAGCATAACTTCTACAAGGTTCATCTATGTTATAGCATGTGTCAAAATTTCCTTTTTAAGGCTAATATTTCATTGTATATGTCATATTTTGTTTATTCATTTATCAGTGTACATTGAGGTTGCTTCCACCTTTTGACTATTATGAGTAATGCTTCTGTGAGCATAGGTGTGTAATTATCTCTTCAACACTCTGCTTTCAATGTTGTTCGTAGATACCCAGAAGTAGGGTTGCTGGATCATATGGTGGTTCTATTTTTAATGTTTTGAGGAACCACCATACTGTTTTCCAAAGTGACTTATACCACTTTACATTTCTGTCAACAGAGGACTTTTCGTATTTCATATATTTTTTTTGTGTTAGTAAGCTGTATTTGTTTCATCTAGCCTTCAAATTTATTGACACAGTGTTTATAATACATTCAGTGTCTGGGGTTTATAGATTTTATTTATATTTTGAAATAACATCTTATGCTTTGCTGACCCTTCTTACTGTATATTGTTTTTATTTTGTTCATTTGCTCTGATCCTTTCTAGTCTCTGAGTTTGCTTTGCTGTCTCACTCTTTGGGTCTGATTTGTGTTTGCACATGCTCTCCTGAGTGTTTGATTGTTTTCCCTTCTTCCTATCCTTCCAGAACAATTTTCCAGAAGCACTCATGGTTTTGTTTGTGTGTTTTAATAAGGGGAGTAAATTGGGAGGAAATAAGCAGAGGTGTTAGAAATTGTCATCTTTCGGCACTAGGCTTCAACCCCATTATCAGCTGTGCTTTAAAATTCTAACACACTCTGATTGACAAGATTATCAAATGCAGTTTGTAACATTGTTACTTTTTTCCCCCTCCTCACAGGACCCGTTGGGGCCCAGCCCCTACTCATGGTGCCCAGAAGACCTGGCTATGGCACCATGGGCAAGCCCATTAAATTGCTGGCTAACTGTTTTCAAGTTGAAATCCCAAAGATTGATGTCTACCTCTATGAGGTAGATATTAAACCAGACAAGTGTCCTAGGAGAGTAAACAGGTAAGAATCATGAAGTCATGGAGATTTTTTTTACTCTTGGTATTTGTCTTTACCACAGTAATTGTTTATCTTGCATATCTGATTAACAGTGATAATGTCTAACAGTTTGACCAAGAGCACATGGTAATTTGTTTTGAAATTGATTGTTCTTTAGGGGTGTGGATGATAGGTAAAATCTCCAAAGAGCCTTGAAATTTTTTCATTATAACATGAACTCATAGGCTCTCTGTGATGATAGAAAAAGTCCAAGTCATTTTTAGATGCTTTTGAAATCACTGAGCATCTTTTCCTTTGCTGTCAGGTAATATACCTCTTAACTCCCCACCCACCTTATTTACCACTTTTTTAAAGTACCCTTTAAGATGATGGTGATAGTAGAGGTATTGGTGGTTGTCATGGTTTCATGCTTTCTATTCCCCTGATCCTCGACTGCTAACTGTTCCTTAATCCTACATAGGAACAAGTACAGAATGGTGTCTAAAGGTTTTTCGGTCTGCTTTCAGTAAGCTTCTTTTCTCACATTCCCCAAATACTCTGTATGTGTGTATGTGCGTGTGGCTGTGGTTTAGCAATACAGAGAATATGAAAAACATCATGAAAGAAGGTTTTTTAAAAAAGACTGGAAAAAATATTTAGAAAACAATAATACTCAACAATTTGGTTTGTAGTCTCAGATACCTCAGACTTTTCTTATTCAGTAGGTATTACTAAGTACCTTCATTTAAGACATAGGTGCCTACATTTCAAACTTATCTAATGTTAGAAATCAGTGTTACCTCAATTAAAAAAAAATAGTTTTTTCTGTCAAGAAATTTATAATTTAGTGGAGTAGGTAAGACACATAAGATATATGAAGTGACTGAACACTAAGAGTCTTTGTGATAGCATGTAAAAAATCATATGAATATTATAATTAACATAAAATGCCAAATTCTTTATGAGGTCAGAAGGGAATTGTGGAGTATTACACGTGGAAAGAATCAAAGAGATCAAATAATCTGATACTCTTTTTTTTTTTTATATAGCTGAAATCCAGAAAGGTTAAGGGACAAAAATTTTTAATAGCAAAAGTGAGACCCCAACTCCAGAATCCTGACTCGATAGTCTAAGAAATATTTGTGAAGCAAGAAGATAATAAAGTCTTGCCATTTGTGACAACTTGAATGGACTTTGATGAAATTTTGCTGAATGAATTGTCAGACATAGAAAAACAAATACTATATGATTTTACTTACATACGAAATCTAAAAACAGCATAAATGAACTTTATACTTTGTTAATATTTTGGCTTGATTTTATATCAACATCTGTAAAACTTATTCCCTTTATTTCTTTCAAAAGACTAGATTTTTTGTTTTAACTTTTTATAATATCGCTACATATCTAGTCAGTTAAACTTTATGGTGGGCATTTGAAATTAGTTGCTACACTTCAACAGCTGGAATTCTGGAAATTAGGAGGAATTAGACAGAACTTCACAATTCCTTTTCAGTGTTAGCCAAATAGTTACAGGCCAAAATGCAGCAGTATTTAAGTCAACACATACAAGGTTTCTTTTCTCCACATGCCACATGCTCAAATATTTGGCGCTATGGCATTAATCATAATGGCAGCATACTGATATATTGTCTCCACACAAGTTTCCACTTTAGTCACAGGAGTTTTCTTGGAGCAAATATGCAAGAAATGCTCGCGAATCTTTTTGTGAGTCAACTTCTCTACGTTAGACGGTCCATTGGTTTTCTTTATCTTTTGTTACCCTTTGGTGTGGCGTGTGTGTGTCTGTGTGTTTCCTATGTAACGATTTTGATTGAAAATGATCATTTGGCTTAGGAGCATGTTTGTTTAGCAGACTTCAACAAGTGAATGGTCTCAATAACTAAAAATAAAATGTTTTTAGAAATACTGTGACCTAGAGTGTAAGTTCTATAACTTGAGATTTTATGTTAGTTTGTCCAGCTACTAAGTATTTGTATATATGGGGATAAACCCTGAGTAAATGGTTAGGTACTTACTCAGAACCATTGAATAATGAAATACATGGGAAAAATTGTATACACAATATGAATATAACAAATCTATTTTAGACATGTAAAAATTTGAAAGAATCTTAAAATAATTGATAGTACATGTGGTTGATTTATTTTTTGGTCAATTTTCTTTTATAATTTAAACATTATAGTCATTTTGCTATTATAATTATTGGTTTTTTAAAATATTTATTTTCTTTTTAGAGAGAGGGTAAAGGAGGGAGAGAAACATTAGTATGTGGTTGCCTCTCACATGCCCCCAACTGGGGGACCGGGTATGCAGGCCAGTACTAAATCCACTGAGTCACACCAGCCAGAGCACTATTATTTATTGTTGCTTTTTCTTTTAACTTTTAAATTGACTTTTAGATTTAGAGAATGGGAGAAAGGGTGGGGAGAGAGAGAGGATTGAGACAGACATCAAACTGTTGTTCCACTGATGATGCACTCATGGGTTGCTTCTTGTACATGCAAACCTGGGATTGAACCCATAACCTTGGTGAATCAAGGAGGAAACTAACCAACTGAGACACCCTGCCAGGACCCCATTACTATTATATTATGATTAATGATATAGGGACAAATATTTGTGCATATTGTATATGGATGTAATGTAATTCTGATTGAATTTTAGAAGGAAAAATCTATATTGATATCATTTCAGTTTTTAAATGGAAATCTCAAATCAGAGTGTTTGAAGGAACACCTTTTCGGCTGTTACTAGCAATATCATTGGCATAGTGTTATAATTGAGTAGTATGCCAAGAAAGGGATATACTTTTTTAAAATAACAACTTTATTGATGTAAAATTCACACACCATACAAAAAGTCACTCAGAGGTGATGGACAACTATCACCACTATCTAATTTTAGAATATTTCATCTTCCTAAAAAGAAATCCTGTACCCATTATGAGTCACTACCCATTGACTTCCCCACAGCCCATGCTAAACACTAATTTACTCTCTGTCCATGTAGATTTGCCTTTTCTGAACATTTCTTATAAATAGAATTATACAGTCCTACCTTTTTGTGTGATGTCTTTCAATTCACATGTTTTCAAGATTCATCCAACTGGTAACATGTGTTACTACTTTATATTTTTTCATTACTAAATAGTATTCCATTGTATAGATATTTTATAGATTTTTCAGTTGATGGATATGTGAGTTGTTTGTACTTCTTGGTTCTTACGAATAATGTTGCTATGAACATTCATGTACAGGATTTTGTATGGACATATGCAACTTTTTCTTTACTCTTTTGAGGAACTGCCAGACTCTTTTCCAAAATGGCTCTATTATTTTACATTCCCACTAGCAGTGTGTGGTGATTCCAATTTCTCCACATCCTCACCAAGATTTGTTATCTGTCTTATTTGTTATAGCCATCTTAATGACTCTAGTCTCTCATTGTCATTTTGATTTTTCATTTCCCTGATGGCTAATGATGTTGAGCATCTTTTTATGTACTATTTGCCATTTGTATTTTTGGAGAAATGTCTATTCAAATCCTTGGCCCATTTTTAGATTGGATCTTTAGTCTTTCCATTAAGTTGTTGGATTTCTTTATACCTTCTAGTTAAAAGTCTCTTGTTTGACCTTTTGGTTGATAATGATTTGCAAATTTTTTTCCCTTTCTGCATGCTGCCTTTTCACTTTCTTAATGATGTCTTTTGAAGCAAAACATTTTTAATTTTGATGGAATTCAGTTTTTTCTTTTGCCAGTCGTTCTTTTGGTGTGATACCTAGATAACCATACTCAGAGAACATACTCTAGAAAACATTACCGATGAAAAATCAAACAGAATGGTGTTTAGCTATCTTGGGGAAATTGTACCATGCAAAATATGTTAGTTAATAATGGGTCATTTTGTTTTTCTTATTTGTTAATCACTTGGAAGAAAAGAAATCTAATTTTGAGATTACTTCAAATCTCAGAGTTCTTTTTTTTTTTTTAAGATTTTATTTATTTATCTTTAGAGGGGAAGGGAAGGAGAGAGGGAGAGAAGTATCAATGTGTGGTTGCCTCTAGTGCATCCCCTGCTGGGAACTGGCTTGCAACCCAGGCATGTGCCCTGACTGGGAATCGAACCGTGATACTTTGTTCACAGGCCTGAGTTCAATGCACTGAGCTACACCAGCCAGGGTACAAATCTCAAAATTCTTTGTAAATTTTTAAATTTATTTTTATTGTTTTTTTATTACCATTTACTCTCCTTATACGCTCCAGCGCCACCACCCCACTGCAGTTACCACATTGTTAAAGTAGCACCGAAATAAAGTACTCACTGGTGATGAGAGTCTTTGGGTTAACAGTACAGTATATTTGGGATTGAAAGATACTTTTATAAGTAAATATATGTCTGAACATCAGGGACTAGTGGGTAGAGTTTATTTCTAACATCTATTCATTTGTATAGATTTAAATTACAACAGCTATATAATAATCCCATTGTATGGATGTGCCTTAATTTGTTTACTTTAGGTCTGCTCCAGTTTTTTTCCTTAGATTAAGTTAGTAAGTCCATTTAAACTAGTTATCTCAGTTTACCATACAGTTTTACCAAAATAGAATGCTGTTGGTACTAGATTTAAAAATATATGGACTCTTACTGGAATTACAATTCTAAATCCTGCAGTAACTTTACAAACTTTAAGATGATTTTTTGTCTTTTTTTTAAAATAAGTATTTTATTTATTTATTTTTAGAGAGAGGGGAAGGGAAGGAGAAAGAGTGGGAGAGAAACATCAGTGTGTGGTTGCCTCTCATGTGTTCCCCACTGGGGACCTGGCCTGCAACCCAGGCATGTGCCCTGCTGACTTGGAATCGAACCGGTGACCCTTTGCTTCACAGGCCTGTGCTCATCCACTGAGCTACACCAGCCAGGGCAAGATTATTTTTTGGATACTCCCTATTTTCATTTAACTATTTAATTTATTGTGCCCCTGTTTTTTTGTTAAGACACT